CAACAATATTTAAAAAAAAACAACATTCTTATTTGTGTTTTTTTTATAAACACTTGTGTTTTTATTATGTGTTGCTTATGCATATGTGCGAGCAAAATAATGTGAGTAGTGCGAATTGTTAGTGTGTTTTTATGATGTTGAATGTTTTGTGTTATTTTTTTTTGTTTTCATTTAAGACGTCGCCAAGATCGACTGCAACAATTGATAAAACGTCCACTGACCCCTCCAAGTCCTTGTACGGAGGTGGTCAGCAAAAATTTGAGGAATCCGTTTGGAAGAATACGGCAGGAGGTGTCAGCCCGGCCAGAATAGCCTGCGAAAAGTGGCTCAACCAACTGCTCCAACGGCAAGCTTAATTGGGGAATAATTGCCAACTAAATCCTGGTGACCAATTGCCCATGAAGTGCGAAACCTGCAAAAATAAAAAATTATAAAACTATAAGTATATGGATACCAGGTAACCTTTTATGTTATTAAATACTCACTGGTGTTGAGCCAAAATTTAAATGTTTCGCCAAGAGCCCAAACGCATTGATTATGCCTGAAATGATGCAAGGAAATTAAAGTTATTAAAGAAATTATACACATTTGAACATAAAAAAGACACCAAAGCAATAAGACACAAAAAAATCCCTAACAAACTAAAACTAAAAGACCAAAATTTTTTTTAAATATAAATTTTTAATTAATAGTATAACAATTTAGTAGTAAGTAGTATTTAAGGACATAATATGTGAGGATTTTTAACGACGGGAGTTATACGAATAGTGTAGGGTTACCCTAAAATTCCAATTATTCGTGTTTTTATGTTGTTTTACTGTGGGACCAGTTGGTAATGTCCCCAAAAACCTTCTAAGAGAGCTCTTTTAGGTGAGGTATAATAAAGTAGCCAAGTTGCCAGATTGGCCAGAGGTTAAATTGGATAGAAAGGTAGTCCGAATAAGTGAATTTTCGTTATCGTCCGGTTGTTAGAAATTCATTATACTGACTAAATTGTTCTTTGTTAGGTCAACCAAAAAAATTATTACAATAAATGGTTTTAATGTCTAAGTTTTATAGATTAATATGAATTGTTAAATGTTCTTTGTAAGGGAGGATAATAGGATGATGTAGTAATGTGGTAAGTGTGTGTGGAAATAGGGGCCCTTTTAAGAGTGATTGATAATGAGGATCAAAGGGTCAAGGTTGGGCGGGCTGAGTGTGGGAACAAAATCACCAAGTTCCCTTGTTATGGTTGTATGTGTGTGTCGTTTTATTTTTGTTTGTGTTGTCTTTTCGTTCCACTTCTTACATCGATTGTTCGTCCCCTAGGACTGATGGTGGCAGGGTTATGGATTCACCCCTTAAACGGTGCCCCGACGAGCTAGTTGGAACCCCACCATAGCGCCGCAGTAGGCGGTACGTAACAACTTTGTTCTACAAAAAACTGAATCTGAACATATGGTGCATACCAAAATACTCTTGGAGACTTCCTATTTCGTTTGATACCCTTACTTTGTTCGAGGTTTGTATACGGAGGCTTCCAGAGCCATTTTGGTGTCCTGACCACCAGTTGGAAATCGGAAATTCAGCAACTTTGTTCTACAAAAAACTGAATCTGAACATATGGTGCATACCAAACGACTCTTGGAGACTACCTCTTTTGTTTGATACCCTTACTTTGTTCGAGGTTTGTATACGGAGGCTTCCAGAGCCATTTTGGTGTCCTGACCACCAGTTGGAAATCGGAAATTCAGCAACTTTGTTCTACAAAAAACTGAATCTGAACATATAGTGCATACCAAACTACTCTTGGAGACTCCCTCTTTCGTTTGATACCCTTACTTTGTTCGAGGTTTGGATACGGAGGCTTCGAGAGCCATTTTGGTGTCCTGACCACCAGTTGGAAATCGGAAATTCAGCAACTTTGTTCTACAAAAAACTGAATCTGAACATATGGTGCATACCAAAATACTCTTGGAGACTTCCTCTTTCGTTTGATACCCTTACTTTGTTCGAGGTTTGTATACGGAGGCTTCCAGAGCCATTTTGGTGTCCTGACCACCAGTTGGAAATCGGAAATTCAGCAACTTTGTTCTACAAAAAACTGAATCTGAACATATGGTGCATACCAAACTACTCTTGGAGACTCCCTCTTTCGTTTGATACCCTTACTTTGTTCGAGGTTTGTATACGGAGGCTTCCAGAGCCATTTTGGTGTCCTGACCACCAGTTGGAAATCGGAAATTCAGCAACTTTGTTCTACAAAAAACTGAATCTGAACATATGGTGCATACCAAACTACTCTTGGAGACTTCCTCTTTCGTATGATACCCTTTCTTTGTTCGAGGTTTGTATACGGAGGCTTCCAGAGCCATTTTGGTGTCCTGACCACCAGTTGGAAATCGGAAATTCAGCAACTTTGTTCTACAAAAAACTGAATCTGAACATATGGTGCATACCAAACTACTCTTGGAGACTCCCTCTTTCGTTTGGTACCCTTACTTTGTTCGAGGTTTGTAGACGGAGGCTTCCAGAGCCATTTTGGTGTCCTGACCACCAGTTGGAAATCGGAAATTCAGCAACTTTGTTCTACAAAAACTGAATCTGAACATATGGTGCATACCAAAATACTCGTGGAGACTCCCTCTTTCGTTTGATACCCTTACTTTGTTCGAGGTTTGTATACGGAGGCTTCCAGAGCCATTTTGGTGTCCTGACCACCAGTTGGAAATCGGAAATTCAGCAACTTTGTTCTAAAAAAAACTGAATCTGAACATATGGTGCATACCAAAATACTCTTGGAGACTCCCTCTTTCGTTTGATACCCTTACTTTGTTCGAGGTTTGTATACGGAGGCTTCCAGAGCCATTTTGGTGTCCTGACCACCAGTTGGAAATCGGAAATTCAGCAACTTTGTTCTACAAAAAACTGAATCTGAACATATGGTGCATACCAAACTACTCTTGGAGACTCCCTCTTTCGTTTGATACCTTTACTTTGTTCGAGGTTTGTAGACGGAGGCTTCCAGAGCCATTTTGGTGTCCTGACCACCAGTTGGAAATCAGAAATTCAGCAACTTTGTTCTACCAAAAACTGAATCTGAACATATGGTGCATACTAAAATACTCGTAGAGACTCCCTCTTTCATTTGGCACCATCACTATGTTCGAGGTTTGTATAGGGAGGCTTCCAGAGGCGGACATCTCTCCTGATTCACTGGATTAAAATGTTTGTGATTTAGTAATACTTTAGTTTTAGATTATAATAAAATATGTTTCAACATTTTCGTATTGTTTATTATTTTTCATTACTAATGATGTTAACATTTTTATTAATAATTTTAAAAAAATATTATTTTATAATATTCTGCGCTATCTCTGTTGGAAAGCACTGTTGATAAAAATAGTGTTAAATGTGAAATTGTGATGTTCTGTATCACCCTGTAATTTCGATAAAAATTTTGTTATCGAACGTTAGCGATGTCGCTAACTTCACGCAGGTGAAAATAGGGCTATGTAGGCCGATATACGGATAATCGAATTATCGACATAATTGGGTAGGTTTGATGTAATCGATTTTTCGTTGGAACCAAATTGACCCAAAGGAGACATATATATCTCTAAAGCGGTGTACACACTAACACTTTTGAGTGACAGTTTATTTAATGGTTACTGACTGTCCAACAACCATGAATATTTTTGTGGTTGCCTGATGAATGACAAGCAGGAGAGGTCACACTATCAAACAAGCAAAATTTGGGCAAAAGTGTCATTCAAATGTGCTAGTGTGTACACCGCATAAAGCATTGTATACACTATTAGTGCCACACTTTTTTCTTGTTGGATCGTTTAACTGTTCATGTCCGTCAATTTCGACAATCACATTGTTGTTGGACAGGCCATAATTTTTTTTACAACGATGCAAACATTTGGTCTGTTCCCGTACTGCAAGAATCAACTAGATTTTACTTTTTTTCTTCGATATCAGAAGGAAAATTAAATTAACATCATTCAATAAAATAAAAAAATAAGTAAAAGCACACAAAATGTATATCATTTTATCTGTTTTAGAGCCTGCTGTTTTCCTTTTATAAAATGAAAGTAAAATGACTATATAGAATGCATCCACAAATTTGATTGAACCCTTTACTAGTTTTGTTGATACTTGATCGGATTTGGAATAAAAAGTTGCAAAATTAATTAGATTAATAGAATTTAAGCAGACAAATGCCAAAAGCCCTGCAGCATTCAAAAGTGAAGTTTTTTAAGCAAGTTTCCGAATTTGTGGAAAAACAAAGCTAAAATCGTGTCACACAGTGCGTACACATCTTTATCCAATGAATTGTATTTTTACGTTTTCCAACACTACCTTCTTCTCTATGTCAGCTGTTTTCCTTCTCTGCTTCTAACCTCAACCTAGTTTTGTTATTAAGCAGCCCTAAGTTACATAGCCCATTTAGATTCCCATTTGGAAGGACATCAGAATGAATTCCCTGACTAAAGCTGGAAGTTTTGTTAGTCAGTCATTACAATTTGCCGGTTGTGGAGTAAGTTTTGTGGTATATGCTGGTCTATTAGTGTTGATTAACTTTAATTTTAGTTTCAACAAGTTCGCAACAAATGGGCCGATTGGAAAATGATTCGTGATGTAAAACGCCGCAAGTGTGTCACTGAACATGCCAAGGAACGTCTGCGTGTGAATGCATTGCGGAAGAATGACATACTGCCAGTTGAGTTGAGGGAAATTGCAGATGCTGAAATTGCGGCATTCCCAAGAGACTCGTGTTTGGTGCGTGTCCGTGAACGTTGTGCCCTTACGTCCAGACCTCGCGGTGTTGTTCACAAATATCGCTTGAGTCGTATCGTGTGGCGTCATTTGGCCGATTATAATAAACTTTCTGGTGTCCAAAGGGCTATGTGGTAAATGGCAAATCTATGTTTATTGTTAAATTAGTTTTATTACAAATAAATGCTAAGAATGTGCATAAACTAAATATTTTTCCAAATGGAGTTCGATATTCACTCAATGAATGGTAGTTCCTTTTCAAGGGCTTTTAAATTAAAGTTGTTATAGGTTTTGTTCATGGTTTGTTTGTAGCTTTCCTTTGATATTTCTGGATAGCGTTTAGACATCTCCAATATGGTTTCTGTAAATAGAAGTGGTGGATATAGTTGTTTATGTAGTATTGAATTTAAATCTACTACCTTTTATTGCTGCCTGTAAACGTATCTCTGGGTTATCGTAGTGTAGAAACATCATATCCATGCAGTGTTTTACGAATGTTAACCACACCTCATGATCATATGCTGCCTTTGAGGTACTTTGCTGGGCAGGGCTTTCTTCATGTTTATCGGTGTAAATAGGTTCCAATTTCGGAATGACAGAAACAGCTAAAATTCGTATGCCACCAGAGGCATCATCCAAGCGTTGTAAACAACCTAAAAGTGTTTTATGTAAATTATTTTATTTGTATAGATTTTTATTTGTACTTACCATATGCTATTGGCTTCATTTCTTCCAAAGGTATTGGACCAAAATTACATAAGCATTTGACAGCATAGTGACGTGTTGACACAGAATGATCCTCCAATAGACTAGGAATATATTTCGATAAGCCGGGTAACACAGTACGCGCTTCATCGGGAGCCCCTTGTGATATGGCACACAGAGTAGCTGTTGCCAACGACCGCATTGCCTCAGCATTTGCTCCAGCCTTCCATATTAGGTGTGGTTCAATAACAACTTTTACAAATTCCAGTAATATTTCACAGCTACGTGTTAACGGTTTCCGAATTGTCTTATTCCAATCTAACATTGCTATGGAAACGGCAGTAAATATTTTAACCTTAGCTTCGTCAGCACAATACTCGAAAATGATGTTAATTTTTTCTTTTATAACATTTATGTATGGCTCTCGAAATTTGCCCAATTTTAGAAGACCATAAAATAACAAGATAGGTTCACTTAAAGCATCCAAGTGAGCGTCTATGTTATCCACATACTTCAATGCACTTTGAAAATATCGTTCATGTATATCGTCCATTGTAGAATTATATCGTTTGGCGATTTTGTGCAAAATATCAGTACCCTTTGTTTGTAATTCCTCGCTATTACTTTGTTCCGATTCCAATGATAAGGCCATTACTTTTAATGTGGAAATGTAGCAATTTTTATGCAATCCATCCAATTTTTCATATAAATCCGAGGAGCTATCTTTGCAAAAACTTGCGTCTTTCTCCGTCTTATCTAAAACAGTTTCAGTCATCTTTAAAATGTACATTTGAAAACTACATTTCAATGTTTGTGAGAAATCGGGTTGAACCATCAGTTCCATTAGGCGGACATGATCATCAAACTTAATACCCAGAGCAGACCTATACATATGGTAAAAACATTTTAAATATCCCTCTTTTGCATTTTTTTCTAAACCTTCAAAGCCATGCTCGCGCCAATCCTCATAGTTTAGCAGACGACCCATTAGGTCGGCAAGATTACAAGCTTCTTGAACAACAATGTTCTCGTTATCCCGACAAGCTCTTGCCACATCTGGATATATTTCAAAAAAGTTCGCCGTCATTGCTGCTTCAGCGTGTAATACAAATTGATACAATAGTTTCAAAGAATGTAGGCGCACATTTTCTTTCCAATCGGCCGATTCTCTTGTTATCAATTTCAGTAGCCGCAATGATCGTTGAACTATTGCTCGACAACCAATTGTGGGTCGCTGCACGTCACTGGGGTAGTTTGCAGCCGGTAAATCGGCAATTTCTTGTTTGCTTAGTTCCGCTTCATTCTCATCATAGTATTGTTTTCCACATTTCACCCATAGTGGCAATATGTAGTCACGTACTTCGGGCGATTCATCTTTAAGGCTTTAATTATAAGTTGTTATATTGACTACTTTAATATAAACTACATTTCACAAGTAGCTTACCAGCACAGAACCAAAGGTATTAGTCTTTCGAAATATGAATAACGGTCTCGCAGCTCTAATAAAAGTCGAACACCAAGCTCACCACATTCTCGACGCACCAAAGGCATTGAGTCCATGAGTAATGGAGAAACTTCCATTAGCAATCGTGACAAAGCTTCACCGGCTTCAACGTGTAAAGCTACATAGCCCAAGGCATTGACAGCTGCAATACGAGCCTGAGAATGTTTGTGATTTAGCATTCCATAAAGAGCCTTTGCCAGTGGCTCAGCATGTTTTTGAAAATTGTAATTATCGATCGAAGAAGCAATCAGTTTCACACTCTTACATGCTTCTCTCTGAACAGCTGGATACGGATCCTTTAAAACCTTTATTAAAATTCGAACAACATCTTCCAGGCAACTTTGGATCGAACACTTATTTCCCGTCTGAATATATCGTTCGACCAGCATGTTCAATTGATTCACAAAAGTCAGGCGTATTTCTTCACTTTCCTCGATGGTTTCCTGCTGTCCCAAACGTTCAGCCAAGGTGGCTACAATATTAAGCAAATGATAGTCATTTGGTGGTAGTCGTTCCATAAACTCGTTGATTGTTTCCACCGACTGATCGCGGACACTTTCGTATCTGTCGCTGTAACATTTCAGTAAGTGGAGGTAACATTCGTCATAAATCTCCAATAGCTTGTCATCACTGTATTCCATGCGATTTTTGCATTTATTTCGCAAATCCTCCAGAGCGCTCAATTTGACTCTCCTCTCGTTGGATTGCAATTTGCTGCAGATTTCTTCAAGACTCAAAGACATTTTCTGTACCGTCCAAGAACTATTTGTGGAACCAAATGGTGTTGCCGTCAGAAATAATTATTTTTATTTGAATAATTGTTTTTTTTTTTTTTTTTTTATATATTATTTTGGTTGGCCCACTTTCTATAGGGATAGAAGGTTTAGTGCCATGTATCCGTATGTAGCTTTGCTACGAATTTGACTTTATCCATAGATGGTGGTTTGTGTTTTGCAGGTTGACTTCGATCTTCTTTAAGAATTTGACCACAATGTTCAGACTTTCTAAGCCTTGTGTATCAGTGAACTCTTCTACTGTGAAGGAGTCACATAGTAGCGAAAAGCATCTTCTTTTGCTATTAAATTTACGAAAATTAAAAATTTCATGCGCAGCTGTTTGGATTTTGTTGAACGACTCGTAATTTATAGGTTATCCGTATTTAAAAACACACGTGTTAGTTAAGCGAACGCTTAACAACCGCCATTTTGTAAAAATCTATTTTTAAGCCCGTGGGCGTGTAGTACTCATTTAAAATTTTTTTTACGTCTTTCTTGTGAGCCGTCCGAGGACGAACTGGAATAATTGTTTTCAAAAAATAACAAGTAGCTTAGTAACATTGTATCGTTGTTGTTGTTAGGGATAAGTAAATTGAATTTTTGAAAAACGTTTCACTTATTAACAAATGGGCAAGATCTATTAATAAGGTCACCAAGATAGCAATCGAAATCGGAAAACAGCTGTTTTTTCTCAAGTCTAATGTCAAAAATTTCGACTTTGTTTACGTTTTCATAATGGAAGTCAATTCACAATAATGCATTTTGACAGCAAACTTGAGAGGTATCGATAATCAGCTGGTCTCCCTTGGTGACCTTATTTATAGGCCATGCAAATGGGGAAGAAGACAAAATGGCCGATAAAGAAGAACTAAAAGCAAGTTAACGAAATATTTACGAATGAGGTGGGAGACTGCTGAAAACTAAAAACACACGGCCACTGTCCTTGTGAATGCCTCAGCAGTATTACCGCTGGGAATTCTGTAAAAGTTTCCCAAAAAATCGTTCCCTTGAAAAAATCGCACAGAAATGTAAATAATATAAAACAGTTCTGAGGATATGTCAGAAACCCTTGGAAATCAAAAAACGACGTAGACAAATCTAAGAGAGTCACAGGTCATCAAAAAGGTGCAAATTGCGACTTTAGTCTCACAAAGGTTACCCCATGGTACAATTATTCAAAGTAGGCCATAGCAACCTATAAATTACAATTTTTCATACTGTGGCTTGTTATGCCAAAGTCATATACAAAATGTGTGACTGTGTGTGTAATGTTTGAAAAATATAACAGAATATTTACGAAAATCGATTTGTTTGATGATGAATTTTAGAACATTTGTAAGAAGAAATGTATGATTTGGAAATGAAAGTTTCATTTTCATGTTTTCATTTATCCTGACATTATTGACCATAAGGTAGAGGTGTATTTTTCCTTTCTGACAAAAGCTACCCTACATTGTATAATTGTACCATGGGTTACCCTGTTCCTCAATGTCAAGTCGATTCAGGGTTATATTTTTCGCATCGTGTATTGTTGCATGAATGGATGAATGGCTGCTACAGCAGTTATTTGCGGATATCGGGATATTTACTACACTCAATTTTCTTTTAAATTTTTCCTTTGGAAACGCACAACTTAATTTATTGTCACAAAGTCCATTTTTGCTATTACGAAATGAACAAAAACTGTAATCTAGTGTAAGGTCTTATGTTTTGTTTATTTGTCATATTTTTACAATTTTAATAAATATGAAAATATCGCGGAAAATAAATGGAATGTCAAGTTTTTTTTTCACATTATGGGGTATAATTATTACATGGTAGGGCACTACTACCAACTGATTACAATTTTTTTCTTAGGGTCTTAACTAATTTATTGTGCTCCGTACAAAAATACTCACCTTCTTACCTTTACAGAGTCCGTCCGTATTACTCAAATACCTAAGGACTTTATTTGCATCTGTACCAGTTGAAAACGGCAAAAATGGATGAAAACTGTTTTTTAATTGATAGAAAAATATTTAGTCCCAATTTAGATTAGGCGAGTTTACTTGCGGTCTTTGTTTGTAGAAGAGAGGAGCAAGGGGAATAGAAAAAAAATGCTCGTACCGGCAATTCGTTTTGTGCATTTTGTTTGTAGTGTCAGTAATTTGAAATACCAATCCAGAACATTGTCACAAAATGTCAAAAAAATATTTTCGAAACCGAATTGCCTTGTATAGTCGCACGAAGCAAGTTCAAAAGGGAACGGTAAAAATTGCCGCAAGTAAACTCGCCTAATCTAAATCAGGACTTACATTTATAGAAAAAAAATTTCAATGACTGGAATTCTATTAAAAAAAAAACAAAAATTCCAAAATACTGAAAATTCCAAAGTCTAATTCAAGACAAAGTGGTGAAATTTTTCAACTTTATATTTTAATACGCAATGCGTAATTGGATAAAATTCATTCATTCATTCATACATGTACATATTTAACTTACGTATACGATGGAAATTGGTTTTATACCCTCCACCATAGTATGGAGGGTATATTAGTTTTGTTTTTCCGTTTGTAACGCATCGAAATAATCATTTCCGACCCTATAAAGTATATATATTCTTGATCAGCGTAAAATTGTATGACGATTTAAGCATGTCCGTCTGTCTGTTGTAATCACTCTATCGTCTAAACGAATTGATATAGAGCGCCAAAATTTTGCATAGGGTCGTCTTTTGTCTGCAGGCAGATCAAGTTCGAAGATGGGCTATATCGGTCCACGTTTAGGCATAGCTCCCATGTAAGGGTACCCCCAAATTTTCAGTATTTTGGGGTTATTGAGCGCGTTTTTCAACCGAATTCGCTGAAATTTGGTAAAATTGGTTCTTTTTGGATACCAAATTTCTCCACTAAAAATTATAAATATAGGTCCACTTTTTCTGGTAGCCCCCATATAACGGTACCTCCCAATTTTCAGTTTTTGGGGGGTTTTGACCGGATTTTTTCACCGAATTAGCTGTAATTTAGTACATTGAGTTCTTATTGAGTATCAAATCTCTCCACAAAAAATTATAAATATAGGTCCATTTTTTTGGGTAGCCCCCATATAAGGGCACCCACCAATTTTCGGTATTTTGCGGTTCTTGAGCAGGGTTTTCAACCGAATTCGCTGTAATTTGGTATTTTGTAGTCGTATATGTTAACAAATCTCCCTACCAAAAATTATTAATATTCTCCCCTTTTTTGGGGTAGTCTCCATATAACCCCCTTTTTTATATTTAAATAGTTATCTGATTTATTCCGCGTTTTGAGTTTGGTTATAAGAGTCTATTGTAATCATTTCATCAAGAAGATAAAAAATTAGAGCGTAACGTTCGATAATGAACTATAGCCGCATTTAGGCCTAGCCCCTGTGTGAAGTTTAAAGAAGAAGTGGACCGATATTCGAATTTGAACTAAGTTTGGAAGAAATTATAAGATGGGCAAAGTTTGAATGAAATCTAAATTTTCTGAAACGGATTTGGTCCAAAGAAACATGGGGTCTAGAACCAATATTTTTATGAGACACATTTTCACGGTGTTAAAGTGTATACACCATCATTAGCCATAAGGCTGAGGGAATAAAATTATCCATTTAAAAATTCTGAAATTTTTATTATAGTTAACATAATCCGTTTTTAGAAATGTCGGTGTAGGTCCACTTTTTGGTATGTTCCCTATATTTTAATTTCTAGTACCTGTCAGTATATCTATGGTGGAGGGTATCCAAAGTTCGGCCCGGCCGAACTTAACGTAATAAATACTAGTGTTTAAGCAAGAATTGCTATTTAAAATAGTTAAAAAGTCAGCCTTTGATTTGAAAGGCCATAGCCGTTGAAATCCGTCTACTCCTCTTTTATTACACCCTTGTAATAGTATGAGGCTGAGCGATTTCAACGGACTTTTGTTTACATTTTGAGTTTGCGCCACCTTTATGCATCTTTGTGTCAACAACATTGTTATTATTAGTACTTGGTTAACTTTCGTTGTAACCTACTGGCCACACATCTTGTTGTGAACACTTAGGCTTAAATAGTAAGCTGCGCACATATCGTTGCGCTAAAGGTAATATCGTTTACCAACAATAAATATCGGCATTGGTAGAACCTTTTATTAATAAAACTATTGTATTTTTATTTATTATCTTTTATTTTTGCTCACGAGTGAGTATTGAACGCACTGACTCTATCGGGAGAATCGATTGCACTGTACCTGCCAACCCCCAAGTCCCTATAGTGCGGACTTAACAAGTAGTGTCAACGTCATTTGACAGAAAAAATGTAAACAAACATATAAATTATCAACAAATTTTATTCATTTTAAAAATGTGATATTTTTGAATTTTTAAAATAAAATTGAAAAACATGAATGAAAATCTATCAAATTTATCTTTCTATCGCTTCCACATCTTTCCTCTAATTGAGCCATTGCCACTGATATGTGTAACACATATAAAATTGTTAGGAATTACGAGTTAATCCATGAAGAAAGATTTGCTTCCTCAAACTTTTCCAGCAGGCAGATTGAGTAAATTGAATACGGGGGGACTTTTAATAAAGAACAATTTCGAATTTTATGCTAACCAATTTTCCTGTTGGGTCATTTTTAAAAACACAATTTGTCAAATTAATATTGACACTAGTATAACGTTGGAATCAAATCAGCTGGGTTTTGCTGTTACCTTTTATAATTGTACCATGCCCTAGACTGGTGAATTTAACATAGGTATGTCATTGGGGAAGTCAATTGTCCCCTGCCTGCCTTAGGAGTAACCAGCAATTTCAGTAGTCCGAAATGATAGTTCATTAGCTTTCTTTCTTTACATAGGATACCCGTAGTCCTTCGATATGTGGGCAGCTCTTCGATTCGAGACTTTTGATAGACGTCTAACCATAGAAAATCTGTGAAAGATATAAGTCTGTATAAGACCGAGTTTGTCTTTACTGTACCACAATTTTAA